CAAACGTTCTGGAAAATATTAGCGTTTCGTGTTCGCTTTGACTTCGTGTGGACGGGGCCTAAATCTAGCTAGAAAATTACTTAAATGAAGCTAAACAGAAATTAAACTAATGACTAAAACTAAAACTAGACTAAGGAATAAATAAAACCAGACAAGCTTTAAAGAGATAAGTGAAAGAAATAACAAGGGAAAGTTAAACTGGGAATTCATAAATGACATAAATCTTGACAAACACAGAACATAAAATAAAGCATAACTGAGAATCCAAAAAGAAAATTTGCAACACAACAAAGAAGTTCAAAAAGGGCAGAATTATGTCACAAAGGATTTTGTTAAAGGTGCTGCAAGAAAGTAACTAAAATGTTCTCCATCAAAGAGACTGAGATCTGCCACCAGAGGTCAGACAACAAGGAAAGGGTTTGACAAAAGCGGGCGTTTTGAAAAAATCACTTCTTCTGTGAGAGGAGTAAAGGTCTTCGAAAATAACCACTAAAAATGTTTGTATTGGTGTAGAAAATAAAACGTTTTTATGTTGTGTTGAGCCCCATTTTTCCAATGGATGCTGCTTAGACTGTTGTCCCTTACATGGATCTGCTCCGAGTGGGGAGGCAGTGAAGGAAGCAGCAGCTCCAATGTGAGGCTGAGGAGAGTAAAGCGGAAAAGGGATGAAGAATGGAAAATAGAGGGAGGGGAGTATGCTCATGGGGCTCAGTGGGCTGATGAATGCGGCTGCGAAGAGACGTGGTGGGAGTTGCACAAACAGTCAAACAACCAGCCGTGGCTCCTGCATCAGGATAGAGATGGAGCTTTGCTTTCCTGAAGGGAAGCCGGGATCTAATCAGGAATAAAATAGGGGAGAACGTTCTCATAACACGTGGGATATAAAGAGAGGCGGGAGAGAAGGGTGAAAACAAAGGATAAAGCTGCAGAGGAGGTTGAGTGAAACAAGAAAAGCCACAAGACAGGTGGACAGACATCAAAGCAGGTAAGGAAAACTTCTACATGAGAAATAAATACGTTTAAAGGCTAAAATTGAAAGATACCTGATCATTTTAGGTGCAAAAACGATACTTTTTAGTAAAATAATGATAAGGAATTTAAAGTAGTTCCTTCTAATTGTGTTTAATTTGATGTTTCAGCACAATGCAATGTTTGCTTTAGGAATGCAAACATGAATAATGGATTTGCATAATTTTGTAAAACAGCAGGACTTTAAGCGCGCTGAAATTCTATTAGTGGCAGAGAGATTCATTTGCAGGAAGGGAGGGCACTACATCCAGTGACAACAAAGACTCCTTAATGATTTACTGCCGTGATTAGTTATTGGTGGGGCTGCGTGAATAAATCATGAGGCTATGACAGCATGAATCAACAGACCACATCACATTCCTTTATGCAGAAACCAAAGATCCAACAGGAAAAAAAACCTTTAGACTAAAATCCCGGTTTGGTTCAGGATCTTTGTGGTGCAAATGAGTGTGCAACAGTAAAAATGGGGCCAGCTAGTGACACATTAACGTTGGTGGGGAGGAGAGGATCGATAGGAGATTCCTGTGCACTTGATGGTGAAGACAAAGGACCGTTTTATAGGCTCAAAGGAGTTAGAGTGGCTGCAGATTCCCCTTGGGGTGAGTAACCGGATTCCTGTCAGACGCTGCCATCCAATGGTGAAGCTGTGCCATCCTGTAGTGAGTGTGGAGGAGAACGCCTTGTCTTCTTATTCTTACTATATTTCAATGTTCCCCCCTTTGAGATTTTTATTTGAGAGACCAAAGAAAAGCAGTGCATAACTGCAGGTAAAGTAATATCTCTGTTTGGTTCAAAAATGTAGGTTCGTAAAAGAGAAACTGAGTCCACACAGGAAAGAGATTCAATAGCTCCTGCAGAAGTGGAAAGAGCCCAACCCAACTTCAAACTCTTTCCCCGACCCCCCTCCTGCAGTCGTCTTTTATTACCAGAACATAACACATAGTTACAAAACAGTATTGTTCTGACAGAACAATTGATCAGGTCATAAGGCAGGATGCTCCACCAACTGAATCACAAGACAGAGTGGAGCATCTCCTTGCTCCAATGTTTCATAAGCACACACGCATTAATTTTATAATCATTATTGAATAAACCTAACAATCTCTAAGTACAGCACTCCACAAATCTTGCTTTAACAGAAGGAAGGCTCTAAAAACTAACAAAGCACATTGCTGCATCCCATTAACAGACATGGTGGTGGTTACATCATGCTACGGGGATACATAAAAAGATTTGTAGTTGAAAATGAAACTAAATATTGAGGTACAAGGTGATGACTTATGCAG